TCTCTACCTTTGCGGCGAGCTGGATAACTTCTTCAATTTCCACGAATGGAAAGATCTCAACTTGGTTTTTGATTTCTTGTTGAAGACCCTGCAAAAATTTGTTGTTCGTGGCTTCTTTGTCCTCTCAAACATCAACTCGGTTCATGAGAAGATCCATCTCCCTGTTGTATTCTTCAACGCTCTTGCTTCCTTGGAAAAGATTTTGCAGAGTGTCGTGGAGATCGCGTCGATAATAGGAGGGCACGAAACGCTCTTGCATCAAGCTTTGCATCTCCAGCCAAGTAACAACTGGAGGTAATCCAATTCACTTTGCTTCATGCATACCTATTCCCACCAAGCAGCTACGTATCCTCCAAACTCTTAGGAAGTGACACGCTATGACACAACACCAAACTGCAACCAAGTGTAATCGCAGAATGGAAATGCAGTACAGTGGAATCAAGTAATAAATGTCAACCCAGGGCCTAGATGTACTTCCTACTCCGTGATTATCTATTATCTAACGGGACTAAGTGAATGTAGGTGAGTTCAAAGTAAAGCAGAAAGAAAGCAGTAAATTGTCCGGTTTCCCGAAGCAAGAGAAGAGTCACTTGGGAATGAGTCCCCCTAGCTCCTTAGTTAGGTCCAAGTTGTAATTTCCTTAGGTTGATTTACTGCAAATTAAACTGCGGAAGATCCGAAAATAGCTTGGAATCTCTTAAGCTGACCAAGCCCTCTTAGACAGACTAACAAGCAGACGACTAGTCTTCACGAGGATAGAAAGCTAAGGCAATTAACACAGAACTCCACTACTGGAATTGGATTCTAGTACAAAGCAGTGAATTGATAAACTCTTGTATAATCAATTCACTACTATCAATTGAAGAAGTTCTAACAACCTAATTAGATTCTATCTATATCAGGTTGCAGCATAAATCGAAAGAAGTTGATCAGGATTCAATTGACTAAATAAACATACTTCAATCGATTACAATTCAAATCCCTAACACATGGAAATAGTGTTCTTCATACCCAAGTGAGAGAAAGGTCTACTTCATATAGAGAGGAAAACAGAAATCAAAGCACTCATACTCATAAAGATGGGAATAATCTGCTCTGGGATGTCGATCTTCACTCCTTGGGATGCAATCTGGACTTCAATGGTGAGAAATCCACTCCAAATATTCCTAGGGTTTGTTCTTTGCACTTTCTCCCTCTAGAACTCCGTTTTTGCTCCAAAAAGTCGATTTTTCTTCTCCAAAACCCGAAATTGGGTTTATATGCAGCTTCCCACGATTGCACGGCCAGATCACGCGGTCGTGCAACCCCCTTCGATGCTCGTGCAACCCAAAACGAAGAGTTTCAAATAATTCCATGAAGGATGTGCACAGCCACTGCACGGCCCATGCAATCCGAGCGCCTGGCCGTGCAGCCTCACACATAGTTCATCACGGCCAGAAAGTGCATCGTGCACGACCGTGTAAAAACAGGGTCAGGCCGTGCAACTTCTCGGTAAAAATCCCACGCAAAAAATGCCACCATGCACGGTCATCCACTTTCGCGTGCTGGCCATGCAATTTGTCTGCTCTCCCTCGCTCCTCCCGATTTCGCCCAATCATCCCCAAACTTGTGCTCAAACCTTCATTCACACATTAGGACCTGAAATGTCATAAACAAGAACAACCTAGCATTAAATTGGCTTAAAACGCGAGATCCGAGCCTCAAACAGTATAAGAATGGAGGCCAAAACATGTGTAAATATCGAGTCATCAAATTGCCCCACATTTAACCGTTTGCTTGTCCCCAAGCAAACCTTACTCAAACCAATGCAGCTCTCCAATCCTTTACAGCAACAAGCAACCCCGATCGTCGGTGGAGGATTTCCTAGATCATTTAGCAACTTACGAGGTCAACTGGTCTTCTAAGATGTCCCCTATCTCTCTCAATGCGAGTACTATACTCAAGCCAGGTCCATGAGAAGTAGTGGAACTAAGATAGTCAATTCATGGACAAGGAGACTCACACAATTTAATGACATATGACTCTTTGTATCGGGTGCTCTTTCATTTCATCTCACTTGTTGGAACCCATTTTCCTTATTATTTATTTCTTTTTCTTTTGTTTTACTTTGATGGGGTTCCAAATGCAGTTTTTATGCGTGGTCGGCCCTTATTAGGAGGCACGATAAATTTATGTACATTTGTCGCTCGCCAGAGTACTTCTTTTAACTCTTATTCCTCACTTCGTGTGGAGGATCAATGAAATTAACAGGGGTCGAAAGCTCTATCCGTGCAACGAGTGGAATGTTTACTTATACTAGAGACGGTTTAGCTTCACCTTGTAGGCCTACCCCACTAAGGATCACTAAAATCTCTTCCAAAAACCGAATTTTTTGCAATGAACGGTGCCACACACGTTGGGCTTACCCCACGTTTTAAAATTTAAAATTTTCGACATGGAGGACTGACGGCTTTTTCATTTCACACAATTGAGCACCCTTTATTGATACACGAGTCCACAGCACAACATAAGAAGAGTCATCAATACCACATGAATCAACGGTCCTAAATCCACTAGTTCACAAAATCAACCGGCACAACAGAGAGTCAGATAGGAAAAATCTTATACTTCAACATCCTCCATAGTGCTACAACTACCTCCCTAGGTTGCATGTCTCTATAAAGACTGTCAATTCAAAGCATATTGAGTAGATGATTGCAGGGAACAGTACTTGGAGCCCTCAATTCATCAAATTGGACAGTGGGCTAGGCTACAAGGACACAAAATCATCTATGCAGTCAAAGATAAATATACCCCACACTTAAGCACGACATTGCCCTCAATGGAGAAGAGGGAAAGATAAGGGGAACTATGTTACCGAGAAAATAGACTGCCAGGACTGGCGACTGGAAGGCAGTCCAGTCAAGAGCAGGGCACTGGAGGGGGCCGGTTGAAAGGCACCGAGATAGAGTCATCAAAAGACACTGGGTGATAGAAACCATAGTTCCAAGCGGAATAACCAAAAAGAAAGAAATAAAATAAACTGTGGAGGGGTTGCCTCCCTAAAAGCGCTTCTTTTACATCTTTAGTTGGACACAGAGGGTGGATGCTCAGAGCGGTGTAGGAATAGGTGCCTCCAAGAGCGCATCCACATTGCTCTTGAGGTACAGCTTCAGATGGTGGCCATGCACACGACTGGTGTGACCACCAACACTTGTCAACTCGACCCGACCATCTGGCAAGATGCGAGCGAATGAATACTCGGATGGCCAAGGTGCCCGTGGCTCAGGAGTTGGGACCATCTCATAATGGTCTCCAGCTTTCTTTTGAGCAGGCTTAGCTACCTGCAGTTTCGGCCGCCACTCCTCCTTGATCTTTTCATTTGGTAACGAGACGGACGAGAGTGGCGGCGAAGGAATGACAGGGGGATCCTACAAAATGGGAGTCATAGAAGGATAAACCATAGACTCGTGCACCTGGTGAGAAATAGCATGGAAAATATTATATGCTCCTCGCCATCTCTCAAGACTAAGGTCCCATCATGCACATTTATAAGAGCCTTGGCGGTGGCCAAGAAAGGCCTTCCTAGTATAAGGGGCACTTCTGCGTCTTCATTGATGTCCAAGACAACAAAATCCACAAGATAAAAGAATCTGCCAACCTTAACCAGGAGCTCTTCCACTATGCCCCTAGGATGAACTACAGATCGGTCAGGTAATTGAATACTCATCCTAGTTGCACTGGGTTCACCTAGGCCTAGTTTCTTGAACAATTTATATGGTATAACATTGATACTAGCACATAGATCCGCCAAGGACCTCTCTACATGAAATTTACCAATAGAGCACGGGATAGTAAAACTACTTGGGTCCTTCTGCTTCAGCGGAAGCTTGTTCTCCGAAATGGCCGAGCACTCCTCGTTGAGCTCCATAGTGGCCAGCTCGCTCAGCTTCCGCTTCTTCGGGAGAAGATACTTCCGGAACTTTGCATACTTAGGCATTTGAGATAGTTCCTCCATGAAGGGCACTTGAACATTCAGCTTCCTAAGCATGGACAAGAAATTGCCAAACTCTACCTCAAGCTTGTCTTTTTACATCCTGATGGGAAACGGGAGCTTAGGCTTATATTTAGCCACTACTGGCTGTGGCTTTGGAGCTCGAACCTCTGACTCCTTTTCCATCACCAGATCCTCTTTCGGATCTAGTGTGATATTTGTCACCTTCTTGGCACTCTTCGTCGGTGCATCCGTCCTAGTCCTGGTCCCAGTTCTCAGTAAGAAGTTTGCCAGCTGGTCTGGAAGCAGGGGCATCTGCCAGGTGCCAAAATTTGGTGTCCATATCTTGCAAGAGTGCCTGCTGGTTCCTCTGGCCAGCTTCAATCTCCATAAATTTGCCCGCAACCACTTTCATGAATTGCTCCAATTTATTGCGCTTCACTCGGTACTAGTGCTGGCCAAGGTGGTCATTAGACCCATCGGGTTTGACATGGGATCGCCCAATGCTGGGAATGATGGAGATGCACCAGACTGCTGGTACTTCTGCTGCTGTGGGGGCTATTGAAAAGCATGCCCCTGTTTGGGCTAATAAAGTGGTTGCTGTTGCTGCATCTGGCTTGGGCGGGGTTGGTATGGCCGCCTCTAGTTTTGAAAACCACTTGCATGAGCCTGGAAGCTAGGTGGCTTAGGATTGTTGTTGCCACTCTAGGAGAAATTTGGATGCTGGAACCTAGCATTGTAGATGAAATTCACCTGCTCCTATGGTGTATTGGACTCATGCATGGCCTGACAGTCGTCTATAGTATGATGGGAGCTCTCGCAACACTGGCAACGCATTGCCTGTTGTTGCCCTGCCCCTAAAACCATCCCATTCCGATCAATGGCTGAGACCAGTTTAGACACAACCTGCACCAAATCGAAAGAGTGGGTGTCCACAGCATGGATATCCTGGCCTGGTACTCGCTTTGACCTCCTAGCAGTACCCATGTCCTCTCCTTTCTCTGCCATCTACTCAAAAAGTTGATTTAACTATGGTGGCATTTTAGTCAACATGTTCCCGCCACATACCGATTCAATCAGCTGCTGATCTTCTGGGAAGAGGGCGTGATAGAGGGTGCCCAAGCGTCATTCAAACCATGACTGGGACACTTTAGGAATAGACTGGTGAGTGATCTGCTTCTCCAGGTCCGCCATCTTTGATGGAGGGTGATAGCGAGTAAGGAACTTGTCCGCCAGGTTGGCGAACGTAGTGATCGATCTTAGGGGCCGAGTGTCCAACCACTCCTTGGCCTGCCCCTCCAGAGTGAATGAGAAGTATCTCAGCTGGAATTTCCGTAGGTGCAATCTGGGATACTCCCCGTCCTTTCCATAGAATACCATCGAGCCGCATTGCATGGTGATGACAAAGGTACTCACCTTGAAGTTATTGGCTAGAACTTGAGGGTACTGGATGGGCGACCTCATGTCTGCGGCTCTGGCAGTCCAGTAGTATCCCATATTGTGCTCCTCGAGAATAACCACATCATTGTTCTGTGGTTTACCCATTTCTTCCTCCTAGTTAATGTGCAGCTGTGCTAGAGCCTCCTTTACAGCCAGTCGTGCCTTCAAAGTGCGCTTGAGGTTACGACAAGTTCTTTCAATCTCATGGTCTAATGGCAGTAGATATCCCGACTGGCTATGGGCCATGCACTACCTGCACACAATCAGCAAAAGCAACACGTCAAGGCACACAGGTGGAAGAGAGAGAATGTAGTATAGAAAATGACAGACTTTCACGTGGAACTCAAATAACCTAGAAGAGAGAGAATGTGTCATTACAACTCAAATCCCTAACACATGGAACTAGGGTTCTTCATACCCAAGTGAGAGAAGGTCTACTCCATAGAGAGAGGAAAACAGAAATCAAAGCAGTCATACTGATAAAGATGGGAATAATCTGCTCTGGGATGTTGATCTTCACTCTTGGGGATGCAATCTGGGCTTTAATGGTGAGAAATCAACTCCAAATAGCTCCTACGGTTTGTTCTTTGCACTTTCTCTCTCTAGAACTCTGTTTTTGCTCCAAAAAGTCGATTATCCTTCTCCAAAACCCAAAATTGGGTTTATATGAAGCTGCCCACGATTGCACGGTCGTGCAACCCCCTTCGTTGCCCATGCAACCCAAAACGGAGAGTTTCTCTTAATTCCGCGAAGGGAGTGCACGACCATTGCACGGCGCGTGCAATCCCAGCGCCTGGCAGTGCAGGCTCTCACATAGTTCATCACGGCCAGAAAGTTCTTCGTGCACGGCCGTGCGAAAATAGGGTCAAGCCGTGCAACTTCTCGGTAAATCCCACACAGCCAAAATTGCCACCATGCACTTTCCCGTGCTGGCCGTGCAACTTGTCTGCTTTCCCTCGCTCGTCCCGATTTCGCCCAATCGTCCCCAAACTCGTGCTCAAATCTCCATTCATGCATTAGGACCTGAAATGGCATAAACAAGAACAACCTAGCATAAAATCAGCTTAAAACCCGAGATCCGAGCCTCAAACAGTATAAGAATTGGGGACAAAACATGTGTAAATATTGAGTCATCAGGAAGCAAGCGTGACCTTCTGTTCTTCAGTGTAGTTGTGGCAATCAAAGAAGAGGATCACCTTTCGCTCCCAATCCAAGTACAAAGATTGATTCAAGCTTCCTTGAAATGAGGGGATGTTCAATTTAATCCCCCGTAGCTCGTTGATGCCCACTGTTTCGGGTGGTCGGCAGTCGTGATCACGAATTCATGATTCGATCACGATGATTGTAACCGACGAGAATCAATTGATGCTCCAAGTCCCTAATGCATTCTTTCAGAGCCTGAGGGCTCTGGTCTCCCTCGTGAATAGTCTCTTTCCTCTTCATCGTGTCCGACATCTTTGGCTCTGTTACCGCCGCCAACTTCAACTCTGCCAATTGTGGGTTGATGTGTTGAATTGTACTTGGAACGTGGCGTTCATCTATGCCATTATTGCTTGCAGCAATTCCGTCATATTGGTTTGTCCCTCCATGGTCGATTTCTCACATGGATTTCTTCTTCGAGCTCGGAATCAGACTCTGTTTCCTCGGCTTCCTTCTGCAATGCGATGGGGTATTTGTGTCTCGTTCTTTCTTAAACAATCCGAACGTGTTTGAACCAGGCAATGATGCCACTTGATGAGCCCAAGGAGAGACTCGGATGATCAGAGCTCGCAACTAGGGTCGAAGGTTTTAGTGTAGTGATGGTTTCATAGTAAAACAGGGATGGTGGATGGCGAATAGTAGTAACCAAACAAGCAACTTCAACACTAAAAGGAAGAGGCTAGTTTAGGGTAGAGATTACCACGAGATAAAGGATGATTTTCTTGATCTCTAGGTCTGCAATTCTCGGCTATAAAACCAAGAACAAAACCTTAGCTCGCAAGCTTAGGAGAACTCCTTAGAGTAGGGTTTTTATTCATCAATCAAAATGTGCTTCTAAAAATCAAAGTAAGGCTATTTATAGCCAAACAAACCTAATTACAAACCCAAAAGAACAACGAAACAATTCGGAACCAAACAAGGAAAGGAAAATGCGTATACCAAAGAAACTTGCAACTCAAGTAACAATCTTCTATCCCAAGCTAACTGTCTAGGAAATAGCTTTTTAGACCAACTTCAAGCTCCTGGAAAATGGTCTTCTGGTTGAGTCGAGGTTAGTCAATTCCTTCTCTAGGTGTAGAAAGGTTTAAACTTACATTCCCAACTCCAAGCTCCAGCTGGTCGTGTCCCAAACTTGGTGAATAAGAGCTCAAAGTTGCTATCTCGAATTGACTTTCTGCCTTAGCCAAAATTAGGCAGTTTTCAGGTTGCAGGAGAGGTTTTTAAATGGCTTGAAAAACAACCTTCCTGGCTTCTCCTTGTCAATCCAAGCACTCCACAATTTAGAAGAACATCATAGATTACAAACAAACCCTTAACCTTTCATTTTTCAATGCACCAATTATCAGAACCAAGCCTCCAAAGTAGGGTTCCCAAAACTACTTCAACACTTAGCAAAATTTCAGCTTTGTCCTTGTTAATTGGATTAATTTTTGAATTATTACTTCGGAATTGTAGAATGATGAAAGTGAGATCATACCAGCGAACATAATCAAGATGGTTTTCTCTCTTCTCCTTTGTTTATTTCCTCTACTTAGCATGGAGTTGTCATCTCTCTCACTTGGGTGTTTGTAAACCCTAGCTATATTTTGTGAATGCTTGTGTGGATTGAATGACTTGTGTGTGGTTGGGTTTTAATACAACTTATGAGGTATTTTCATGAAGGTTGTGTTGTGTTTTTGCATAACTGATGCTTAACACCATAGCGAGAGAGGAGTTTAGTGAATTGCCTTTGAAAATGGGTTCCTCTATCACTAATGATGGCGTGAGGTGCCTCAAACCGGGAGAACAGCTGCTTCAGAAATGAGCAGACCCGTCTTGCATCATTGGTGGGCATGGCTTGAGCTTCTGCCCACCTCGAGACGTAGTCCACTGCAACTAGTATGTACAAATTGCCAAAGGATGGAGGGTATGGGCCCATGAAATCGATGCCCCAAACATTAAAAATTTCACAAATGACAGAAATATGTTGGGGCATCTCATCCCGGAAAGAAATGTTACATGACCTTTGGCAGCGGTCGCACTGTCGTGCGAAGGTGTCAGCATCCTTTAAGAGCGAGGGCCAATAGAAGCCCGACTGTAGCACCTTCCGCACCGTCCGGTTACCTCCATGGTGACCTCTAATAGGTCCCTCGTGACATTGAGACAGGATGTCTGTAACATCCCGAACCTTTTCCCGGCATTGAGACAGGATGTCTGTAACATCCCGAACCTTGGGACTCAACGCCCTCGTTAAGGTTTGCCCCACCATCGTTCAAGAGGGACGCGGAGTGGCTCTGATACCACTTGTAACATCCCGAACCTTTTTCCGACAGGATACTGTCTGCTTTGGGCCTCTACACCCGCACGGTTTTCGACTTGGGGTGCAATTCGAGGTAACTTCTCATAAGGTCACCCATCCTTGTTGTACTCCACACTGAGCACATTTAACTTCGAAGTTCTCACAAGAACTCCTCCATTACACCCCAAAATGCGTCTTGTCAGTTAAGGTCGGTTTTTTACTTATGAACCATGGATCTCTCCCGTGCTTTGTCGATGTGGGATTTGCCAAAGGTGTTACAATGTCTCCCATTTCGTGCTCCATGACGCAGGCCCGGATAACGCCATCTCCTCCGATCCTGAAGAGGTAAGGATCCTCCCAGAAGTAATGCTTCAGGTCGGAGAAGAACTTGCGCTTTGCATGAGTGGCCATCCCCCTTTTGTAGCTACTTGCCCACCAGATAATTGGTAAAGTCAGAATACCAAGGGGCCACATTGTCCACAAATGTCATCGCCAGCAATCGCTCACCCGGGAAAGAGTCATCGATCTCCTCCACGAAGTTGTCCACCAGAGGGGCTTCCAACCGTGAAAGATGATCGGCAACAACATTCTCGGCTCCCTTCTTGTCCCGGATCTCTATATCAAATTCCTGCAGAAGCAGGATCCAGCGGATGAGCCTAGGCTTTGCATAAGCCTTGCTCATCAGGTAGCGAATCGCCGAGTGATCTGTGTAGACCACCACATGGGTGAGCACCAGATATGGTCGGAACTTATCAAATGCATACACCACAGCGAGGACCTCCTTCTTAGTGGTGGTGTAATTCTCCTGTGCATCGTTCAAGATCTTTGACGGGTAGTAGATGGGCTGGAAGTGCTTCTCGCGTCTCTGACCTAGAACGGCTCCGACTGCATAGTTACTGGCATCGCACATCAGCTCAAAGGGAAGAGACCAGTCAGGAGTCACCATGATGGGTGCATGGGTAAGCTTCTCCTTCAATATCTCGAATGCAGCTGTGCACTCAGAAGTGAACTGGAATGGTGCATCCTTCTCTAGCAGCTTGGTCAAAGGTAGGGCAATCTTCGAGAAATCTTTAATGAAGCGCCGGTAGAAGCCTGCATGACCCAGGAACCTGCGAATCCCCTTCACAGAAATAGGAGGAGGTAGCTTACTGATCGTCTCAATCTTCGCGCGATCCACCTCAATCCCTTGGTTGGAGATCTTGTGCCCGAGCACAATCCCCTCACAGACCATAAAATGGCATTTCTCCGAGCTGAGTGCCCGATTAGTCTCCTCGCGCCTCTTCATAACGAGGTCCAGGTTATGGAGACAATGAGTGAATGAGTCTCCATAAACTGAGAAGTCATCCATGAAGACTTCCATGATCTTTCCGACCAGTCGGTCGAAGATTCCCAGCATGCATCTCTTGAAGGTCGCTGGTGCATCACACAGCCGAATGGAATCCTCCGGTAAGCAAAAGTACCGAACGGGAAAGTGAATGTGGTATTCGCCTAATCCTCTGGTGCGATAGGAATCTGGAAATAACCAGACATGTCATCCAAGAAGCAATAAAACTCATGGCCAGCCAACCTCTCCAGCATCTGATCAATGAAGGGTAGCGGAAAATGGTCTTTCCTGGTGGCATCGTTCAGGCACCGGTAATCAATGCAGACTCTCCAGCCGGTCACGGTCCGCATCGGGATCAGCTCTTTCTTCTCATTCGGGACCATAGTCATCCCGCCTTTCTTCGAGACCACCTAAGTGGGGCTGACCCACTTGCTATCACATATAGCAAAGATTATCCCTGCATCCATTAGCTTCACAATCTATGCCTGGAGCATTGGCTCCAAGTTGGGAGACAATCTTTGTTGTGGCTACCTGACTGGCTTAACCTCATCCTCCATCAGAATTCTGTGGGAGTAGAAGGATGGGCTAATGCCTCTGATATCTGTGATCTTCCATGCCATGGCCCAGACATACTTCTGCAGCAGAGCCACCAACCTGCTCTTCTGCTCGGGTGTCAGATCCGAGCTGATAATGACCAGGAGCTTATTCCCCTCCCGGAGAAATGCATACTCCAGGTGAGAGGGGAGGGGCTTACGCTCCAGCTCTGGCGGCTCCTCCCACGATGTAGCGATCCGGGGCGAGATAGGGATCGGCTTGAATGGTATCTCTCGCCCCTCGATCGTGACCTCGTCTAGCTCCGCAAGCTGCTCCTCCAGCTGCACATCCTGTGATGCCTGTTCCCCTAGCAAAAGACAATGCTCAAGGAAATCGTCAGTACCCGCACTCGTGATGGCGAGTGCGGTCTCAAAATCAGCAACAACATCACGGTAGTCTAGATCATCATGGAGCTGGGGGTGTTCCATATTATCAGAAACAGAGAAGGTGATTTGTTCACCCCCAGCTCGCAAAATCAATTTCCCATCATTCACATCAATGAGCGCCTTGGCGGTGGCGAGAAAAGGTCTACCCAATATTAAAGGCAAATCCACATCCTCATTTATGTCCAAAATCATAAAATCAACAGGATATGAGAATGGCCCTACTACGACTATCAAGTCCTCTGCAATGCCCCTAGGATCACTGGGTTCACCTAGGTCTAGCTTTTTAAACAGTTTATATGGCATGACATTTATGCTAGAGCCTAAATCCGCCAAGGACTTCCCTGTATGCAAACTACCAATCATGCAAGGGATAGTAAAACTCCCTGGCTCTTTTCTCTTCTCTGGTAGTTTGTTCTGCAGAATGGCAGAACACTCCTCGTTGAGCATCACCGTTGACAGCTCCCCAAGCTTCCTCGTGTTGGTGAGGAGATCCTTCATGAACTTGGCATACTTGGGCATCTTCCTCTTGCAAGTAGGGGTGTCCATTCGGGTTCGGTTTTTCGGGTTTACCTTAAAACGACCCGATTATATACATTTTCGGTTTTTCGGGTTCGGGTTCGTTTTGGGTTTCGGGTTTTTTGGTTTCGGGTTCGGTTTTGCTTATCGGTTTTTCGGGTTCGAGCTAAAAACCTCCAATGAATAGAAGTCAGGCCGTATTTTTAGGCATTCGGGTTTTTGGGTTTCGGGTAATCGGAACCCGATAAGGAATTTTTGGCTTTTACCAAACCCGAACCCGATAAGGAATTTTTCAGGTTTCGGGTAATCGGAACCCACAAGTCCTTATCGTGTTCGGGTTCGGTTTTAGTGATTTTCGGTTTCGGGTTTCAGTTTTTTTGGGTTTCGGTTTGGGTAACCGAACCCGACCCGAACTGACACCCCTACTTGCAAGGGGTCCCTCTCTCTTGTGCCCGAACAGGTGGGTTAGCAGTCATCTTGCCACTCTTGGTCGTGATGGCTTTGCAGTGCTCATTTGGGTCCTGTGGAGGATGGATGGTCTGACCGGGTAGAGTACCAGGAGTCCTCTGAGCTACAGCCTAGGCCACACTCCCAAGCTGGGTCTGGATGTCCCGCAGCACAGCCTGCGTGTTTCTCTGGCCAGCTTCTAGCTCCAAGAATTTACCTGAAGCTTTCTCCATGAACTGCTCGATATTATTGAACTTGTTTGCACTGGAGGTGGCCAGAGAACCCACCAGATCTTGCAATTCCGCCATCGGGTCACTCTGTATTGGGGCTGCGGGTGTTTCCTCTGTCTGATGAAATGGTCGCACCTGTGACTGAGGTGGAACTGGCCTCTGTCTGGGCGGGTAGAGAGGCTGCTGCGGCTGTCAAAATTGCCCTTCTTTGGGCTGGTAAGGAGGCCTCTCGAAGCAAGGTGGTCCCTGGGTGACTGGTGTTCTAGAATTTGCCCCAACCCAGAAGAAGTTGGGATGCTGGTGCAACCCCTCGTTGTAAGTGTTGCTGTAGGGGTCGAAGCCCCTGACATTGGCGATGAACTCCACCTGCTCCTGGGGAGTAGACGACTCCCTCATCGTCTAACAGTCCTCTACGGTGTGATGGGAGCTCTCCCACCACTGGTAGTGCATCGCCTGCTGCTATTCTGTACCTGCAATCATCCTAGAGCGATCGATGGCTGAAACCAATTTTGATACCACCTGCACCAAATGAGATCACTGGGTGGCTACGGCATGCACACCCCGCCCTGGTGCTTGTCTCGATATCCTCGCAGTTCCCCAATCATAGCCCTGCTCTGCCATCTCTTCAAAAAGTTGATTCAGCTGTGGTGGTGTTTTGTTGAGCATATTCCCGCCACAGACCGAGTAAATCAGCTGCTTGTCTTCCGAGAAGAGGGCATGGTAGAAGGAGCCCACCTTGAATGCGTCGGTAAAACCATGGTTGGGACACTTGAGGAAAAGACTGGTGTATCTTTCCCAAGCATCCCGGATGGTCTCATCTTCATCCTGAGCAAAGTGGGTGATTTGCTTCTGTAGGTCCACCGTCTTAGACGCGGGATGGTAACGAGTGAGCAACTTGTCCGCCAGGTTGGCGAACGTGGTGATCGATCCAGGGGGCCTAGTGTCCAGCCACTCCTTGCCCTGCCCCTGCAAAGTGAATGGGAAGTACCCAAGCTGGATGGCATCGGCTGGGACCCCATTTATCTTGATTCTATCGATGAGGTCGTGGAATCGCCTTAGATGTGATCGGGGCCACTCCCCCTCACATAGTGATGACCGAGGTGCTTACCTCAAAGTTGTTGGCTGGGACTTGAGGGTGCTGAATGGGCGACCTCATGTCCGCGGCTCTGACGGTCCAGTAGTACCCCATGGTTTGCTCCTCGGGAAGGACCACGTCATGGTCTTGTGGGTCAACCATCTCTTCCTCCTCAGTGATTTGCTGCTGTGCTAAGGCCTCCTCCGAAGCCATTCGGGCCTTTAGAGCCCGCTTCAAGTTCCTACAGGTTCGTTCAAGCTCTTGGTCTAGTGGTAGTAAATCTCCCGACTGGCTACGGGTCATGCACTACCTACACACAATCAGCAAAAGCAACCCGTGAAGGCACACAGGTGGAAGAGAGAAAATACAGTAAAGAAAAAGCTAGAGTAACAAACTTTCACGCTAAAAACTTGACACGCTAAAACACAACACCAAACTGCGACCAAGTGTAATCGCAGTCCCGAAATGCAGTAACAGGCAAGCTCTAATTGTCAA